ACTGCTGTTCCCTCAGTTCTAAATCAGTACTGTTGCACTTCGTGAGAGAGGAGCTGTATTTTAGTATCATATTTTAAAAGTTTCGTGTGCTTGTTCATAAAGTTGAACACAAACACGTCAAACATAATACCACATGTTCAAGCATGTTAGACAAAATGGTGTCTTAACAGTGCTGCTAAATCTACAATATCAGGAAATGAGCACATTATTGATCATTTGGAGTGTGTGTGTGGGGTTACATGACTGGATTTTGCCGACAAAATTGGCGTTGCCGGGGTGTGGACAGGTCCCCCCCCCCCCCAGTGGCACAGCGGAATGTCTGCGGACTTGCAACGTTAGAAAGTTGTAACTCGAAACGTAGGGTAATAAAAATAGACTTGCAACGTTAGAAAGTTGTAACTGGAAACGTAGGGTAATAAAAATAGACGTTCACTCACTGCATGTATATCAAAAAATCTTATCGTTAATCTACATTTGCCAAATGAAAAATTAAGCTTTTCAACAAAAATGTTTCAAAGTCGGCGGATAAAGTATATAACAAAATAAAAACTTCACGGGTAACTCCAAAATCAGTAATGATGTACCTAAGGTATTGAAATGGAATGACGTTGAGAGCAATGTCTAATCACATGATGAAAAAGAATACCGACAAATCGTAAGTGTGTTACGGATGACATGAAAAATATAAAAATCCTACTAGTAATACTCGTGCTTCAATATTTTCAACATATTTCTGGAAACCAGTTAAAATGGAATTGCAGTTTTTACGACTTTCTAGCTCTGTAGATTAATTTGCATGGATCTAGACTGTAGAATATATTTTACACCTGTATATGCGATGTGAAATACATTTAATAGGTCAGCGTTAACAGGAAAAGAAACAAAACTTAGGCTTACTGCAGCTAACGAATTCTTAAGAATAATTACGTAAATAATTCTCCTACAAAAAAAAGTGTGACCGTATTCACGTGGCATTATTGCCTGTGAAGAGAGGCAATAATGCTGATCTTCGATTGCCTGCCATTCTATAGAAACAACACTACCCGCAGGGCTTTAGACTTGGCTAGCTTTTTTAGGTCCAACTTAACTTTAAGTGATTCAGCAGCCATTGCCAGTAATCATTCTTCAAACTCGAATCGATTAGGTAAGGAAAAAGCGACAGCAATGTCTTTAATAAAGGAAAAAAATAACAACTAACCAGGAAACGATGAAATACTTTTGTTGACTGTGAATCATAAACAGGAAGCTTTTAAAGTTCACAGTCTGGTGCACCCTATCCCAGCGTGCTTTGCGTTAGATAACGTGTATATTTTCCTGATTGTGCTTCAACAGGTGACTTCCCGCTGTGATAGTAAATATGAGAGAGTATTGCGTATCTAGTGAGTAATGGGGTCAAGAGAAAGTTCAGGAAACAAACACCATATGTACATTAGAACATATGATGAACTTAGGCTTCGAATGTAGAGCTGGTGTGAAAAAAAGTTTCATCGAATATATTAAAACTAATTGAGCCAAGCTATATCAATGCATCATTATTTCCTAAAGTAATGAAATAAAGTTTCAAAATATATAATATTTTCTTTAATCTTTACTTTGACGGTATCGTTCTGATTTAAAATATTAGATGAAAAAGGTTATTTGTGTTTGTCTGAAAACATACTTCTAATTTTTATATTTAATTAATAAAAATGGTACATGGTTTGATTTTCTGAATTTGATTTTCTAGTAGCCATCTTTGCACTCGTAAACGAGGGTTAGCTGCAGTGTTTATGCTGTACACTAGTATGATAGTGGTAGAAGTTTCTTAACTTTATATAACGCCTTCTATTTAGAACATCTGCAACATATATTTTCTATTTCTTCGGTATATATTAAGTACAAATAAAATTTACTAAGTGAATTATTTTAGTGTTAATTTTCTGATATTCTGCCACAAGTAATAATGTAGTATACGTCTGCTTAATAGTCTACAATAAAAACAAAAGCAATCAGCTAGGCTGAAGAGGTACAGTGGTTTCTGAGCGCCCCTGGTTGTCATAGAAGCCCCTTTGAGGCTTGTTTGACGAACAATCGGAGAGATTGCATACCCTCGCCCCGCCGCTCCTTTTCAAAATTGCATGCGTCTATATAGGATAACATCAAATTTCACCTTCGAAAACTCGGAAAATCCTTCTCAATCCTTAATGTGCCTGTGAAATTTGGTACAAATCCGATCACACTTTACAGAGTTATTAACTCAAAAATGCCCTATCTCTCCATGAAAAAAAAAAGCTTGAAAGTGATCCAGAATCCGGATTTGTACCAAATCTGGGGAGGACTGTCCCATACTGACTTCCCATCTTGTGTAAAATATACATGTACATCGATGAACTAGTTTTCGAGATACGCGTGCAGAATCACAGACACACACATGGACCCTCGACCCCTTTCCGGAGTGGGTGGGGTGAGAGGGTAATAAAAGGCTCTGAGCTTACTGATAGCTTAGCTGCATACACACTGCTCCTTTACTTTGTTAGTGACCAGAATAACTCGACATTAATCACCATGGCAAATCTCTCTCTCAACTAAAGGAAGTCTTTCGTGTTTTTGGATAATGTTAGCCTTGACAGGTACAAACTTGCAGGAAATAGCATATTTACTGGGAGGAGTTTTTTTAAACTGTAGTTGTGACACAGTACTTCACATTTTCCGGGATCGTAGCCATTATACATAAAACCACCTTCGCTAAATAAAAACAAATATCTTACTAAGAAAATGTGTCCAAGGTCATCTAGGTTTAGGTGTTCTGTGAAACGTTTGATCTAAACATGGTCAGATGTTAACTGTTGAATAAACAAACTTTTTTGTTAATTAAGGCCAATTAAAAGAAAAAAAAGCGATAATTTTTGTCACGTGCATGGGACAAGGAAAGGCGAAGGTAACGTTGTTTATACCTTCATTAAAAGCAACGAGGTCATAAAATGTTTATTGCATCATGAATAGCATGATTTATGCATGTAGTTCAATTGTAGGCCTAAAATGATGGGAGAGTAGCCTTATCATGAAAGAAATATATGTGGTTTTTGAGCAGCATATTTTCATAATGAAAACTTTTTTTTTATGCATATGTACACGTATTTTGACATTTTAAGGAGTATTCTTCCTGTGTTTTCTTAATAATTCATTTTTAAGACTTCAATGTCTTTAAGCCTAAGATGTCAAAATAGAGAGTTACTGGCATAGAACAGGAAATAGTAATATTTAAATTGATGTTATTGATAAAAGTTTTTTTTATTTGCTTGTTCATATTGCATGTCCAATTTTTTTTTTATTAAGTTATGCCTATTATCCAATTTTTCTATTATCTATTAGTGATAAATATATGTGTGTGTGTGTGCTGGTTAATTTTTGTGTAGATGTGTCTGTGAACGTTAATTTGGCTTATTTCCTTTATTTTTAATTGTATATTGGCAATGTCTGAGGAAAGGATGTTGATAAAAAAAAAAAAGCATAATCAAAAAAATTAAAATTAAATATTTCCGTTTTATGTGGTTAATCCATTTACCCTCTGCATTAACAATGCAAGCAAAGTGAAAGCCATTAAATCCACCATCTGCCAAAAGAACCAACCAAAGCAGTCAACCGATTTTTAAACCTAACACCCTGTCTGCCTAACCAATAAGTAATTAAATAAGTTTAAACTGGCACACATACTACATTACCCAGTAATCCAATCCAAATGTTTAAAACTAAAAAAATAGTGGTTTTGCCTAGAAAACAAACAAACTTGGAGCTCCAAAATTTGTATTTATTAAGGTCTTACTTCAAACGGATCTATCTTGCCTTTAGAATCAGGTTTTCCAATATCTTAACATCATTAGAATTATGGAAAGATTACTGCCCAAGTAGTAAGTCAACTAATTAATGTGGGTAATACAAGTGCCAAGGTGGTCCTTGAAAAAACTTTCTAGTTGCATATTATATCAACCAAAAAAAAAAACCTATTAATCACAATTCTGTCTTACAACATCTGTCTAACTTTCTATTTATGTCCAATAAATACAAAAGTTATTGTATGTCTTAAAGTAAAAAGGTTGTTAAGCTTCAAAGTTTTTACATGAAATACTATATTATATTCAGTCTGTTATTTATTTTTGTTTACCTCTGAACGTCGATTAATTGAAATTAGTAATTCCGCTAATTACCGTTTTTGATTATTCCACCTATCCAAGTCTCATGTGAGAATAATCAGTTAGTAAATGTAATTGATTAATGAGTATGACAGTTAATTGATTATGAAATTCTGCTACCTGCCCAGCTCTACACGATAGTAGACTTATAATGTATCTTCTTTTGGCCACAGTTGATATTTATAAAGACATAAAATGTTGTTGGTGGGTAAAGCCTTACGTTTTTACATTCTACACTAATCAAAGTTTATGTTAGTTTGCTCTTGTTTCAGCAAAACTATGTTCCATACTTTTCGCAAGAAAAGCTTAAAATGTGTTTACAGATATTGTATCCTGCAGATTTAATTTTATCCAACCTCTGTTTTCTATACAAACAGATAAATATGTAGCTATGCATTTTCTGTTGTTGTTGTTGTTTTTCCCAACTAGGAACTAACTAATAATAAAACTGGTGTTTGTAATTGCTCATATTGAACTGTGTGGTACTATAACTGAAAAAGTCCTGTCTATAACTATTGTAAAAAAAAATATCCACTCTCAGCTTATCTTCTAACAGAGAAATTATTAAGTCAAGAATACATAATAAACTATATACTGAATTTCTATAAAATAATTTTACAGAATTTATGTATATTGGATATATGTAAATGATAACCTAATAAGTATTTTATTGGCATGATGTGTGGAGGTTCGTTTCCAGTGTTGAATTATTTCTAAACACCCAAATTCTGTAAAAGTTTTGAGGAGACTCAGTTCTGTGTATGATAATTATTTTATTTCGTGTAATACTAAAATACTTTATGTTTCTTCTTTTTTTTTATGTTTGAACAGAGAAAGTAGAAAAAAGGTGAATGTAACGTGGAACGAGAATAATAATACCGTTTCCTACGCACAGGTCCGTACATGGCACTTCGAGCCAGACTTAACGCTTGGCTCTCTTGATGATATCATCACAACATTGAACGTGCCTGCGATAGTGAGTATTTTCACAATTTTTAAGAAGTGTTGATATTTTTGGTTGCGAAAAAGCGACTACCATAATATACCTTATGGAATTTGAACTGATTGCTGTATAAGGTAATGAATGGAATGATTTTTTTTAAACGTTATCATTACCATAAGGTCGATAAACTTATACCTTAGGTGTAAAATGATTAGAAATTGTAGTATAATGCATGAATTATAATATAAATATATTTCTTTCATAAACTGACCAAAGAATTTCAAAGGCTATCTCGTGTACCACTTCAATACATGTAATTATTTATGAAATTAAAACCACTAAAAAAAGAAATTAAAAGTAATTATTCTTATTAGTTTATAATAGGTCTCATTTTTAATTGGAAAGAAAGAAATTTACATTTCGAAGCTAGGTTATTTTGAAAATTTTAAAATTTATATAAACTTCATGGATCATTGCTAACAAGGTGAAATACTTTAATTATATTTTATTGATTTTTTTTTTTAGTTAATTTCTTTGCTGTAATTACTTTTCTAATTTTCTAATTGAGAGCATTTTACTGTGAGTTAGAACATGAATAGGATTTTTACTTTTAATGTATACGTAGATAATTATTTGTATTTATTTTTAAGACATGGTATAACGTATGCTAGGTTATTTACAAATTATGATATCATTTCCAGCTGCTGTAAGTATAGCCAAAGATGCTGGATATGTGCTGTCATTAGTGTGTATTTTTTAACCGTTGCATTAGTTCCAAGGCGCTTATGCAATACAGTTGTTTGGTGAGATCATCATGTGTTTCAGTGACAATCTCACTCCATTAAATAGCATGATAGAACTCGTAGACTCTTAACAACAACTATGAACGTGTGCAGCATATTCCAGCTCAGTATCAGTCCGTGTCTTTAGTAGGTAGATGTTTCATGATAAAAGTGTATGGAAGGATACCTATAAACATGATTTTGTAAACAGCAACCAGATGTAACTTAGCATCAGATTTTCTTGTTTAATAAAATAAGTGTATGCTAAGAATTTTTATACGTGTAGTATATTTTCTTACATTTATAGTGACACCCACAAATGGTTTGAAAATTATTATTGCTATTTCTGATTTTGGATATTTTAATTATTTATCGTATTGAAAGAACTTCTGTACGGTTGTACAGCCAAAATGCTATTAATAAATATGAAATATGAGCTCAGGGAAACCTTAGACAACTGCTAATCTGGTACAGCACTATTCTGGATGTTCATTTCTACAGAAGTACTTCCTTCATGGTCTATAAGTTTTTGTTTAAACCCTTGAGTGCATAATTAAATTTAAGGTGAGTTCTTGAAAAGTGTCAATCATCCACTAATAAGTGAAACTTTTATTTTTTGGTACTTTTTCAATATTAAAATCCATTAGTTGCGCTTCTGCTCGGTGATCCACGCATGCATGGTACAATGGTGGGAAATTCGAGAATGTGTGAGTATCCTAGTTGTCAGACTATTAGACAAAATTTTATGACACTCTGGGGTAAATCCGCTTGTCGAACCAAACGGCTATAAATGTCAAGCCGAGATAAATCCGATCATAGCATCCAAAGTGTTATACATATTAAGAAAGTGATTAAACAAAAACACTGGACAGGTGCCTCGAGATGAATATTAAGTGTGGAATTAGTACCTTAACTTGAAGAAAATATCCTTAATTTAGGACAAGGTCATTCACCTTGTAACATTGGGGGTTATCGTGAATCCCCTATATGCCCAGCATTTCAGGATTCCCCACAAGACACGGACCATCTCGTGTTGCACTGTCCCGTCACTGCAGTACTGTGGGGGATATGGTACAATCCACGAAGCGGGCAAGGCATTCATTGATTGGATCATGAATTTGTAGGTGTGAGAAACACCATACCCAACTACTACTACCTTGTAACATTACGAACATGTATTACTCTAAAATCGAAGAAAAGAATTTCAGTCTTTATATGAATAATTCTGAATCATAAAACCCATTACATTTCTACATCTTTTTTCATGTGATATGTTTTTATAGTTTTATGACTTTTTATTCCTAAATGATGATTTTTTTAACTAATTCTAAATCTTAATTAGTCATAATTTTTGATGCTACTATAGAGTGCTGTCTACAAAGATATTTACATTATAGTGTGTGGTCTAATGTATCTTTCTAGACCACACGCTATAGTGTAAATATAATATATCTCTGTAGACCACATGCTATAGTGTAAATATAATATATCTCTGTAGACCGCACGCTATAGTGTAAATATAATATATCTCTGTAGACCACACGCTATAGTGTAAATATAATATATCTCTGTAGACCACACGCTATAGTGTAAATATAATATATCTCTGTAGACCAAACGCTATAGTGTAAATATAATATATCTCTGTAGACCACACGCTATAGTGTAAATATATCTTTGTAGACCACACGCTATAGTGTAAATATAATATATCTTTGTAGACCGCACGCTATAGTGTAAATATAATATATCTTTGTAGACCGCACGCTATAGTGTAAATATAATATATCTTTGTAGACCACACGCTGTAGTGTAAATATAATATATCTCTGTAGACCGCACGCTATAGTGTAAATATAATATATCTTTGTAGACCACACACTATAGTAGCACCTATTTTTTAATAGCCTGCATTATCAGCCCATATACTGTACTCTTTTTTTTTTAATACCTTTTATTTAGGCTGCAGCACAGAAGATGAAAAATAAAATGTTTGGCCTTAAAACAATTGACTTGTTGTTGAGCAAAGCTAATAGCACATGGTTCATTCATCAGCCAATAAGAAAACTTCTGTTTGATGGTTATGAAGATATTTTCCTCAAAGCTGTGAAAAGTATTCTTCCTACAGCTCAAGAAAAGTTTGGATGGTTTTATGAGGTATTTAATAACAAGAATTGCAAATCTTGTTTTTTATTCATGTAATATCTTCTTACTGTGGTTAACGGAGTTAAATGTGCACAACCAGACAACAAGTACACTCGTGTCACTGGCATTTCAGACAGCATACACATTGTAGAGTTGGAACTTGTAATGGCCTTTTCACTGGAATGACATTTTGGTCTCTGGTACATCAAAATATACCAACCAACTCTCAACCAGGACCAAGGCTTAAAGATAATTAACATTTGGACATCCACTTCCTTTCCGTAAACACCACATTGTTGACAACATTCCCCAGAACTTGTGTAAAAATTCTGGGTCAGCCTGTACTGTCAATTAACATAAATTCCAGCAACAATCCAAATAATGGTTTACCTACTAAAGTAAGACAGAAGCAGCCCATTAGAAATTCTAACTTAACAAATGCACTGCTGAACAGTTGTAGTAACACTGTTCTGCATGTTTAAAACTAGTAAAAATAAGTGGTAAGCATATGGATTATTAAGAACATTTTTGTTATGTTCATCCCAGAACAACAGCTTACACATCCATCCCCATTTTTGTATATGGTATATAATTACTTGACTGTAGTAAAAACAGTTCCCAAGTGTTTGCTTCAAAGGAACACCAAATAAAATTGAAAAAAACAAAAAACATAAAAACTTCATACGTTAAGTAAAGTTTCACGGCATTTATTTATTCCAATATACATATTCTGAAAACTATTCGCGTGTAGTTTTGATACTTAATTTAAAATAAAAAGAAGCTTTCTGCCTACATATTCAGAGTGTTCTATAATTATTAGAGTTCATAGTTAAAACAAAAAAAAACTTATAAATTTTTGAATTTCTACAAATATTCACTTAACTTCATTCAGAAGTTTAACAAGCTTGTAAGTAAATGAAAGCCCAGATTTTTCAACTCTAAATGATTTTCAGACGAGGCCATTATGCAACTCTACTAATATGGTTAGCCCATATATATAAAGTTTTTAAAATTCTATTCATATAGGCTTATCATAGTTCACTTTATGTATATATTGCTCGAGAACAGTTTAACTGCTGTATTTCACACTTCCATAACTAAAAAAAGAATGACTTTATTTAGGTATATATATATATATAAATCGAATCCTTTCTTTATTCACAATTTTAACACTTTAAAGCAATTAGGATGTGAGATGCTTTAATAATGAGGGGTCCAGAGGTTTTGGTACATATATGGTACTGAGGACAGCTCCAAAGAAACCTTAAGGTTATTAAGAAATATATTAATTTGATACCATGATACAAAAATTTTAAGTTTCAAGAATGAGAGACAAGAGGGTAAAACAGCAATGTCAAAGACTTGGAACCATTACTCTAGTTCTGAATTGTAAAAGAAATTACTATGACAACTAAAATGTATAAACATGGGGTACTGTATATGTTTACTAAAACTTCCTCGTTGCTGGTGCAAAATAGTAACGGATGTTAGCTGGTGTTTTGATTTTAAAAATGGGATGAAATAACTAATTTTTAAAGAATTGAAGCAATTTTGTTATTTAGAACTATTGATATATTTGTGTGTGTACAACAAAGTTTTGGAAATTTATGTATTTGAGGTCAGAATGTTTTGATACAGTTGCGTTTAATCTTCTAACTACCTGTTAATTACTGTGTTGCAGAAAAATAACACAGATGATGGAATTTATACAATTTTCACTGGAAAGGATAAAATAGAAAATCTTGGACGTGTTGACATGTGGAAAGGAAGTGGGTCAGTACATCATGAAGTATTTCTAATTTTTGCCGAGAAAATATCATTTTTACACCAAAAAATTGTAATGTTTTCACACAGATCCTATGAATTTCGTATATGTAGTGTGTGTGTGTGTGTATATATATACATAGCTGAATCATCAATATCATTAATTCTGTCAAAATTGTATCTTTAAGGACTGCATGTTTTTACTGGTACGTTGATTTTTATTGGTATTTTGTAAACTTAGTTTTGTGGGTTTCAACAGATAAAAAATAAAAAAAAATTTGTATAATAATTCCCAAAAGTTTTCAGAATATTTCCACGAATTTCAAGAATTATTTTGTATGTGGGGAATCAGCTTTTACAGTCTTAAGTCAACGGACTATAAAGAAGAATATGTGTTATATGTGCTAAAATTCAAACATTTACAGTTTTAATAAAAGTTACTAAAGATATTTAGTTAAATTATGATTTTAAAGATTTTAAGTTTACATCATAATATGTAAAAAATTTTGTGAAATGTGGGGGGGGGGGCAAATGCCCCTTCCTGTGAGTGCCCATGCAGTAATCGGCACCACACTACAACACATTGATGCCTAACACTAAGCATTATTTTTATAAAAGTAGTGTCCATTGTAGGGTGCTAGTGATTTCTTATTGGCTCGAGCTGTACATAGGTTGATGGCATACATCGTGCAATCCATCAATGGTACACAGATGCCTAGGTGACCACTGAGTAGAAAATGGCCTCAATAAGGAAAGCTCTTGTGCACTACATTTACAAATATTGAAATACAAAACTTCTGGCAATACCAACCCTCTAGTATCTTTTTATCGTACAATATTACGTTTCTGTATCCCTACATTCTTCTGTGTCATTTTTTTTAACATTACACATAATGATTTTTAGCACATTGTAAAGAACATCATTAGAACAGTGGTTTCCAAACTGTGTGTCGCGACAAGTTACTGGGGATGTTGCAAGAGTTTTACCAAACGAAGAATAAGTAAGAACATAAAAAAAAAAACTATAGAAAAAATATTACATATGGTGGCAGGGGTGTTGCACAAATCAAGGTAAGTGGGTTTGAGTGTGATTAGTGGAAAAAGTTTGGAAACCACAACATTAGAACTCGCTTATCACAAGTGGTTATGGATATGAAATGTAAATACCAATAATTTTTGTATTTTGGTTAATAATAATGATAAATTGGAAAATTTATTTTAATTATCATTTGTTTATTCTGTATTACATTTGCTTGTGGAAACTAATCATGAAAAATTCAGTTTTTTTTGTTATGCTGAATATATGATGAAATATATATACGTTTTTTACCAAATTTTAGCTGTATTTAATCTCGCCAAACTTTGGCTCCGTTGTATAATATTCCGAAAGAGGTGTAGAAAGGAAATAATTTAAAATCTATATTTTTTGCTCTTAATTTTTTCAAATCTTTCCTTCTGACAGGACAGCTGGTGCTTGGGAAGGTACATGTGACATGATAAATGGAACAGGTTAGTACCATCAAAGATTTTACTCAAATTAAGGAACACTGCAATAAGGAGTAGTTATTTAATCTCCAAATTTTTGTGTATTCGCACATAATATTAATATAACAAGATTTAATGGTACAGGAATTACCTGTAAAAATGTGAGAACTTACTTAACATAACCGAAGTCAAGCAAAACGTATTGGCTTTGTTAGATAACACAGCTGACAACATGCCCATTTGAAGACAAAAATGTCCAGTATCCTTCACTAATTAGTTCAAGTAGTTCAGCAATAACAAATACTAGCCATTATAGCTTTCTTTTTCTAAATGTTTAGAAAGAAGAAAATTAGCTGATTAGTTGGTGGGGGGTTATATGTATATGTATGCATCATTTTTAGTACAAGAGTATTTAAGTTTTCTTCATCTTTGAAGCTGTACAAGGCTGTGGGTGATAATTTCTCTGTTTACATGCTCGGGTGTAACCCTCTGAGATCGGATAGCATTCAAGGTAGGTCATTTTGACCAACCTTGTAACCATGAAACTAAACATATAACTTATAATGTAGTAAGTGTTTTCTTCACAAAATTTTGCAGGCTTTTTGTAAAGTTTACAAGTCTGTTAGACAAAAAAATAAGAATTTTCTACATAAAAAATCTAAAAATCTGTGAATTTATAAAGACTTTACTTTTTTTTCAAACACAACAAAATATGAAATAAATCCAAGTTACCTTTTCTTTTCTTCTAGAATGCCTGCACATTATAACAGACAATTATACAATAGTTTTGTTTTATAGCCAAGGTTAATTAATAGATGTTTTATTTCTTTACAGTTGCACTTAGACCCTTTCAGGCTACAGTGATAGCTATTTTTTAAATGAAAAAGCTTTGTGTAAACCAAGAGTTAAAGTTACCAGCACCTGCTCGTAGAATTACACAATGCTGAACACAGATACACAATTATTTATTGAAGTTTTCTTGTCTAACCTAACACGTTTCTAACTTTTACGTTCTAGTTCCTTTTATAATAATAAATGAAAATTATACATTAAAGACAAGAAATTTAGTGCCTACATCTGGAATCTTGTCTTTTTTCAAGCTTTTGCCCTCGTGGTTGTAACTAAGCGATTAAAAGTTAATGTCACACTCTAGTTCTAACTTTCAGTAACTATAATGTGCTCTGAGAGTTTTAAAAAAAGATTTAAATATGCAACTTGTAATACAAAATATTGCCACTAATATGAAATAAAATGTCATAAAACTAATATGATTTATGTTGCTTTCTAACTAAGCTAGACATTGGTTCAATAATTCACTTGGCTGGTCAAGCAGAGCTCCAGTGCTGGCAAAGAAAAGAAAAGAATGATATAACCTTCAAAACTGGTTATCCTAACAGCTACTAGCTTTGTCTCATTCTGTAAATTTTAATTTTTTCTTTCTTTGTATTAGAAATAATCCAGTAGTAAATGCCCTAGTGTAGTCCGATAGTAAATGCCCTAGTGTAGTCCGATAGTAAATGCCCTAGTGTAGTCCGATAGTAAATGCCCTAGTGTAGTCCGATAGTAAATGCCCTAGTTTATCCATATAATATATCTCTTCACTTAACTCATGGGGGGGATGGCATGTTCGTTTGACTTTCTGTTTCATATCTGTATAAATAACAAAGTTTAGAGGCCATACCTTGGAAATTTAGAAAATAATACAGGGGTGAAAAGAAAACTAAAAAAAATGGATAATTCAGAGCTAAAACGTTTCACGCGATACAAAAAAGTGAAGGTTGAGAATTTATTTAGATATTTGCATTTGAAATTAAGAAATTAAAACTTATACCAAAAGTTTAACTATAAACCATGTTTTGATGCAAAGTTTATTGATATACATTAGTAATAAAGTCATCGAATTAAATTTGAAACGTAAGTTCTGTAAAAAGGTTGTGACGTGCACACATTGACCAACCCATGTTTGTAGGGTTAAGCTACTTCTTAGTGAAAGAGTATTTACCTGTGTACCATAACAGATGCAGCATGACTGCAGTGCTACTGTCCTTGCTCTTGAATGACACTGACAGTACCAGCCACATGCTAATTGTCCAACTGGTGGTGTGTCATGGGAGTTCCCTGGAGCATTAAGTTGAAACTTGCCACAAACTAACATCTCCATGTGTACAACATTCTATGTAAGTTTCAATCTGTTAGTTCACAGAGAACTAATGGAATCAAGTTATGCCATTTTTCCCTATACTTCCTGTATCAAAGCTCAGTTATGGAGCTTATTAATATTAACATGGTGGGTATGACATGACTTTTTGCTATGTTTATTATAGATAAGATGTTGAAGATTACTTGCAGAAAATCAAATTTATATAACATTTTAATGTTTTATCATGTAGTGAGCCATTTTAGGACCTTACAGATACCCATATCTTTTCACTGACCTGTAAACAAAGTATCAGTTACTTGAATTCTCAGCCTAATCGTATGTTTCTCTCTCTCTTACTGGCTCTCATGTACTGAAGATTCCTTAAATTACATGTTTCGTTAAATATATGGGTAATATTGTGATATATATAGGCATACTATGTGCTTCCTAATCCTGTGGCTAATATAAAAGTTTTAAAATTTTCTCTACATATTGTGTATGTAAACTTAATATAGAATGGTTCCACTAATTTCTCATCACCCTTGTTACTTGTGGAACTAGGTCATTCAGAAAGGGTGTCACGTGCACTTTCCCACAGGAAATATTGCTGTAACTTACTAAGAGCTTGCTGTAGAAATAAACAGTGATATTTTCATTGGAAAGTCACGTGATACACCATGGATGGAACATCCCTTATTTTGAAGTAACAATGACCATTTGACATGCAGGTAGCACCTTCACCTTGAGAAGAATGGTGTTGAAGTTTTGAGTATATATATATAATGCTATATTTTCTGAGTTTAGAGCATGATAATGTTGGTTTTGAAGATAGATTTTAACAGAAATAGGATTTAAGAAAGCCATTCAATAAAGCTGCCACGCAAAAGATCCACTTGTTTTGAAATATTTATTGTTGTTTTCCAAAATAAAAGTGTTTTACTGTGTTGTACATTGTGCCAATCTCATTATAAGTCAGAGAATTCAAATTTTTGCTCTGTAATACATTTTCTGGCAAATCTCCTGTTATTTTGCAGCTTCTATCCAAGTACTCTCAAGGAAGTCAATGAATTTTAATGTTTGAAGATTTCTTTAACCACATCATACTTGTAAAGTTTATTTATATTTTTAATCGTCAAATATTTTTTTTACAGGTCCAAATTCTTCTAAGTTCAATATTGCTTTTTATAAAGATGATTGCATGAGATGTAACAGAAATCTGGCTTTTATTTGTTTGTTTGTTTGTTTTTTTTAATTAATTTTTTTAATTTTTTTTTTACATTAATTTCAGTAATAACAACAACAACTAATTTCAGTAACATTTAAATTTACCTCTTAAAATATGATATTAGATGTATTTGAATACTCTGTACAGGTTTTGTTATTACTTTAACGACTTCTATTGTGTTCTTATTTACACATACATACGTAAAGATCAATTATTTTTGTTCATAGCTGGGGACATGTGGCCTCCATTCAGAGAATCAAAGGATGAAAAGTTGACTGTTTATGTTTCCGACATTTGTAGGTAAGGAGTTTGTATTGTTATAAAAATGTTTCCACAAAAGTAAGGATAAGTATATCGCCAAAAACATTTTGCCTATTTAATTATAGAACATCTTGAAAATATTGAACAGTTTGTTCACATTTTATTTATGTTTCCTTGGAGTAGGCAGAAGCTTCGCTTAATTTTTCCAGACAAGTGAGCAACTTTCAGGTGTTGAGTGCTCACTTGCTTATCATATTTCAAAATTTATGTAAAGATAGTAATTCTAATTCTGTTTCAACTATTTTTTACTCAAAAAAACATGTTCTAATTGATATATTATCATTTTCTAACATTTATTTAATTTTATACTTAAAGAAAAATGAAAAAAATGTCCTAACTTACAGTTCTGTTCCTCTCCTATAAACAATGTTGTTTTTGCCCATCCCAAAACAAAAGTTTCTTACCAATGATTTGTTTCTCATCCAATTTTTCTTCTCTGTCTCTAAATGTTTTAGTACAACCTTTCAAATTATACAACATCCAAACTCGAAAGAAAGAAAAAACATGAAGACTTTTTTTTTTATTACTAAATAAAGTGATATTGAATACATATACATACATTGGTAAATCTAGGGACTTACAATGCTAAAATCCAGGGTTTAATTTCCTGAGGTGGACACAGCAGATAGCCCAGATAGAAGATTTAAGTTTCTAACCAGTACAGTTTTAATAAAAATTACTAAAAACATTTACTTTTAATACAATTTTAAATTTACACCCTAATACGTGCAATTTTTTGTGAAATGTAAGGGGGGCATATGACCCCTCTTGCCCCTTCCTGCAGGCACCCATGAACTAACATTGTCAAGTTTTACTTGCAGAGATCTTTTTTGCTTCTGTTTAATAAATTGCTTTTTTTTTCCACAGATCCGTTTCTCTCTCCTTTCTTAAGGAAACGGAAATTAAGGGCATAACAGCTTTCCATTACTGGGCTGATAACACTGTCCTGGATAACGGCATGCTCGACTTTGACAATAAATGTTTCTGTTCTTCCAATGGAACCCAGTGTCTTCCTGCAGGTGGACTTAATGCGTCAACCTGTTCAGAAGGTAATCTTTATAACTAATTTATGTATGTATAGTATCTATTTATGTACTCATTTTTCTCACGGTTACTAAAATGGAAGACATTTCTCGCATAACACTGGATTTATACTCTCTGTACACTTTTTACTTGGTCTGAAACTGTGTTTGAAGTGTCCAATACATATGTAATTTATAAATCCTTCAAGTTAGGCACAAATGTAAGAATTTCTATAAAATCCTAGTAATTTTTCTTTCACTTCTTGCATAACACTGGATTTATACTCTCTATACACTTTTTACTTGGTCTGAAACTGTGTTTGAAGTGTCCAATACATATGTAATTTATAAGTCCTTCATGTTAGGCACCAATGTAAGAATTTCTATAAAATCCTAGTAATTTTTCTTTCACTTCAAAATTCACACCATTGTTAACGAAATCCCTCTTAATCTATGTTTTTAGGCTGAGTGGGAATAAAATGTTTTATGACTATGTTTCAGGAATATTTTGAATTATTATCTGCCTTAGGCATGTGAAAAAAGTAATAAAATATGGAAAATACCATTTTTAAGTTTATTGATTTGTATCTTTTTTATTTTATATTTCCACCTTTTTGCAAAAATTTCAATAAAAATATTGAATTTGCATAAATATCGCTTTCCTACAATTGTTTTACAAATTCTAACTACAGCATAATTCCAATTCAGCCGATCACTGCTTGCATAACAGGGAAGTGTTACGTTATGTGTGGGTACATACAAATTTTCAGTTTTGTGTTTTTCATTTTTTATGGGCGTTTTTTACAATTACATATAAGGGAAGCAACTTTTCATGTCCTAAGATAACCTTTCATTAATCATGAATTTATATAACTTCCGTACAAGGGACGGATATACCAGCTAGTATAATAATAAACATAGCATGAAAAATGTGTGCAAACTGAGTTAAACTGAGAAGCATGAACTTCTGGCACAATAAGAACAAACTTCAGTTGAAGTATTCTTCAGAAAAATCCAGTTCATGCAAAGGTTTGCCCTTAATTGTGTAATAATAATAATTTATGATCTAATGAAGAACACAAACCAAAGAGAGGCCTGTTGCAGAATTTAGTAACAAGAGATCACAGAACCCCAAAAATACCCCTTTTGTAATGATGAGACATGCACGATACCCCTTTTGTAATGACGAGACATGCACGATACCCCTTTTGTAATGACGAGATTTGCACGATACCCCTTTTGTAATGACGAGATTTGCACGATACCCCCTTTTGTAATGACGAGATTTGCACGATACCCCCTTTTGTAATGACGAGATTTGCACGATACCCCCTTTTGTAATGACGAGATTTGCACGATACCCCCTTTTGTACTGAAGAGATATACACGATATCACTTTTGTAATGACTATATATACACGATACTCCCCTTTTGTAATGACAAGACATACATGATATCACTTTTGTAATAACAAGATATAATTTCTTCTGCAGCAGCAAGACATATCTTATGGTCAAAAATGTTACTAACAGCAAGGGTATCCATCTAATGAACAATGGATTCTAATCTTTTTAGGTAATAACCGTATATTAAATTAGCTATGTTCATCATTGGGTTAATTTTTAGTTTGATCTTTGATCAGATGTTAATATTGATTTAATTATAGTTAACTCTGTTTCTTTTTCCTCTAGATAATTGCTACATTTCATTTATTATCAACTGTGTCAAAATTTTGATGTGCTCTGTCTTGATACAACCATGAAACCAATTTTTTGAATTAACATTATTTTTTTCAAGGTGTACCAATAGTGATTTCTTATCCACATTTCTTGTATGCCGACTCCTCCTATAGACAACTTGTAGATGGCATGAAACCAGATCCAGAAGCACACCAGTTTTTCATTGATCTCGAACCAGTAAGTAGAGTTCCCACGTTTAGTAGTAGTATTCTGTAATTGCTATTTATATAGGAATTGTTGAATCAGAATTAAAAAATTAATTATTGCCAAAAAATCTATCTATTAACTCTCTCGCTATGGTGCTTGTTTTGTGCTTGTTATAGTTTTCATATTATAACTTTTAATGCAGTAAGTGAATCTTCACAAAAGTTTGCAGATTATCAGGAAACACTATAAAGCTTTCATACAAAAAATAAAAGATTTTTTTTTATTAAGGTTTAAGATTTTTTAAGTAATGATTAGCTCGTGCATTTTTTCTTTTCAAATGTTGGCTATCCAACATGCAAAGTAATTTTGATTTTAAGATTAAAAATACTTTTATGCATCAGAAAACTGTCAAATTTATAACCTCCTGGTAACCTCCAGATAGTTATAAAACGTTTCTTTTTAGAATATACTTTATCTTTTATCTGTTATTTTCACTATTGTATATCTGTATGAGTTTGGTTGATTTGACTGACCTTGTGACCACCATAAAAAAAAAATAGAAAATAGATATAACATATACTTTTCTTATTCTGGAATGACTGAAGATTATAAAACGAAA